GGGGACGTCGGAGCACAGGCTATAGGGGATCGCCCCCGAGCTGCTCGCATCTCTAAAGAACCTGAGCTCTTTCCATACAGGTAGCTTGGACATGAAATTGGAGGAGTATCTCGGTAAGGGCAAGGGCAACTGAAATACTAGTCTTTTAAGCGTTTCTCTCAGTGCCCTGCTGACACGTTGCCAGGGCTGGGAAGCAAAGGGATTTCACGCGCGGCGGCAGGCACAGCCCCTCAGACCACGCCAGCGACTGTCACATCGTCGGTGGAGGCCCCGCTCTGGGGAGGACACAGCCGAGGTGCCACCCTCGCTTCCCCACGGCACCACGCTGTCGGCGCGCATCTGCACGCTGCAGCCTGTGCTGCCGCTGAACCGTCCTCGGCTGCTGGCGCTCGCAGGCGTTTGCGTCACCGTCGCCCTCGACGGGCGCCCGCTTGCCCGCAGCCGCTAATTGCTGCTTGGCCTTTCCAGTGGCATTTGCATTTTCGCAACGCTGGTGCAAACGCTCCACTTAGACAAAGAAATCGCGTGAGCCGCTGAAGGCCTGGCAGGCCCGTACCCCGAGCGCGCAAGCAAGGACCTTGGGCATCTGCGTACAAGTGAAATAACTGTATATAAATAATTTTTACCATCTCACTGTAGTAAGGTTTGGTCTCTGCTCCCACCAGTGTTTACAACAAAATGGTTACTGTGTAGCAGTTCTGTATGTAAACACTTAGAGCGATTTAGTGTTTCCCTAAGCCTGGGTATAAACAAGGTCTTCCCTTACCATTTCTTCAAACAGTCTTGTGGCATCTTTAGTTTATTTGCTGGGGGGTTTATGCATGGGCTTTGACTACAGCAAACATCTGCATATTGACAGTCTCTCAAATGGCAGAGTCAAGACAGAAGGAAGTAAAACTGCAGTTGTCTCCGTTGCATAAAATACATAGTGAACAATTTACCGTAGCTCCTTAGTTGTAAAGAACTATGCAGCCCCCAAATCTGCGTGTAAACTATAATCCTCTTTTTTAAAGATGAAATGTGACAAAGATGATCACAGTCGTTTGTCTGTTCTGTAACTTGAGCAGCCTTTTGACATGCTATTATGGTAAAACCTGCCTCAGAAACCTGGCCTGCTGAGCATCAGTGGGTGGTAGGAGAAAACTTGGGTCTGTCCATGTCCTGGCACACATCAAACTATATCTCTGTTTGCAGGGTGAGTAAACCACGCGCACCATACGCTGGGCTGCAGCTTCATATATGGGCCTGAGATAGATTACTTGCAGCCTTTCATGGGAGGGCCAAAAAGGCAAATGGATTTTGTTGGCTCCATGGGATTGTGCTGCCTTCATAATTCTACAGGTATGCTGCAGTGAGGTACAGGCAGCTTGTATCTGATTCATCTTATGTGCGATGCACCTTTTATTGGTGTGGATGCACAGTGCCAACTCAGACAGCAAGGTGGGCTTTAGCCAGTCTCGCCTGGTCTGCTCGGGCACAAACACACAGAGATGCCCTAAAAGAATCACAAGGAGAAATGTCAGTGCATTTCTCAGGCGGAGTGTGTTTCTCTGTTCAGAAAGGCAGTGGCATAGCACTCTTCAAAATGCAGTTGAGAAAAGCACTCGGAAAAATTTTTGTCATTCAGGCAGATGCTTTAATTGTCTAAACAGTCAACAGAACAGGTCCCAGCTATTAAACTGAAAGGGGGAAGTATAGCTACAGCACAAAAGTTTAAAAAGCAGGTACTCATCCAGTTGTGTCACAGAACTTCTTACCTGACTCTTGCTTATTCCCTTACTTAAAAACAGCCATTCAGCTCTATGGAGCACTGTAGGACAATCAGTTAAAGCCCCTGGTGGGTAAGCATTGGAACAATACTGATAAAATGAGTACCTGGGAATAGACGCTATAGCAGATCAGTTTTGTACTAATGCTCCCTTCTGCGATGACATAAGGAAACCTTGGTTGAGTGAAGTATGTTTTAATCTGTCACATTTGTGTAAGCAGAGAATTGAATTGTAAATCACAGTTCAAGCGGTTGAGATTCGTGAGGCAGTTTTAGGAGGACTTTAATCACCTTCATCAATCCTCTACTGTTGGTGAAAATATCTACTCCTATCATTTGCTTGAGCTAGTTAGCCCTCATTCATTCCACATGTTAGAGGACAAGGATACCTTAATATATTAGCCTCAAATGGAGAAAAAAATCCACAACTCTGAAAAATTACCGGTAGATTATTATCATTTTTTAATACACAAAGGAACACTAACAATACAATGACTGGGGTTATATTTTTAAACCAAAAAGGTCATGGGTATTCAGGTATCTCCTCAAGATTCTTTTAGGTCAACATCACTACTGAAAGGTTACTTGCCCCCTGAAAATATCTGATATTCTTGATATTAGGCTTCCATCATCCTTATTTAGTGTTCTTTGAATGTAAGGTCATGTTTTGTTATCTACAGCATACGGTACTTTCCTTCACAGATGATAATGCTGAGGGTTTTTTTTCTGAAAGAAAAAACTTCATTTCATTGTCAGTTCTAATACTTAGAGGCACTTTCTTATTTACATAGCCACAATTGAATAATAGCTTTAGTGGGTGTTTGAATAACTAGTTGCAGAATTGGGCTCTCAGATCTCCTTATAGAAAGGAACAGTATTTCTACAGTACACTCCACAAAGGTCTATGAAATGTGTAACACAATATAAATAATGCTCACCTCCCAATGTTGTTTATTAGGGCATAGCATCTTAAAACATAGCCTTATTTGATTTTGCTAAGGCTAGTCCCTAATGAATAAATAACATCAAAATACTAAAACTTGACATAGGAGCTAGTCAAAATTCAAAACATTTTTCACTGACTTTACAGCTGCTGCAGCAGTGTTTCATGAAGTTGCTTTTTTTCAAGTGTGCAATAAGATCAGCTCTTTCATTCTGCTTTTTAATTCCAGCAAAAATCATTTTTGTACGAGGAATGTATTTCTTAGGGTTTTCCAAATGCTCCATCAGTGTATTCTCACTCCAGACAATTTCTGAAAAACAAAAAACATAGTAAAATACAAGGCTGGCCCAACATCATATATTTATGAAAATATCAATGGTCTCAAATCAAAGGTGTGATGCTCCTGAACATAATGTGCCTAGAATCCAAGAGGAATGTCAGCATAAATGGTACATAATATAAAATGCACAGGGTATACCATTTTTTTGTGTCACTTTAATAAGTCAAATATAAATCCTTTTTGCATCATGGAGAGTTGCAGTTCTTTGCACCATTTCACATACAGCTACTTAGTACTTTTAAACAATGTAAGTATCTTTGCAATTCCAGTATCCAGAAGATCCAACTTTAATTTCATAGAGTTGTTGAAAATGAGAATTTACAGATTGACATGAAATTCATCAAGGCTGTGCTCCATTGAAGGGCATTAGAAAAAGGGCTGTCAGTGGCCAGCTCCTGGAATCTCTTGACAGAAGTTGAAAAACCATTAGTGTTTCCTTCCAGCTCTGCTAAAACCGGTCTCTGTCAACAGAAGCCTGCTGTTGTACTGAAGACTACTGAAATACCCATAACGACATGTTCAAGTTTCTCTTCTGTCCTCCAGAGTTGACTCTTCCCATTGTCTAAAGTGGATTTAGATACCACTTTGTTGGCTTTCTTTTAAAAATTTGTACTAACATCTCTATGATTTGTTCACTAAATTTTTAATGAGAAAAAATAGTTAATATATGCTGATGATGTTTTGTATGAAGTCCCAGTATAAAGTGAATGTCACAAAACATTTCCTGGAAATCACAGAAAAATAAAAAAGTCGGCCAATTCTAAAGCACCTTAGTAACCAGAATAAAAAAACGGACTGTATTTGTAATTAATAGCTTGATTGAAATAATACAATTTATATTCAAATAATGTAAACAAAACCAATGAAACCCACACAGAATTACTTTCCGTTTTTAGATGTTCCACTGCTTTTCAAGACTGTCTGTATGAAAAACACAAGACAAGTCATAGCTTATTAGCAGGTAATGGTAGTTAGTCAAGTGTTCTGAGCAAAACTGCAGCACACCACGATGCCAGCAGAGGGTAGTGAGCAGCAAACAATCTAAAAGCATTCTTAAGAAATAGAAATTAAAATATGCCCATTGATGTTACAAAGTTCTGGGAAAGCTATATACCTTCTGACCTGGTGTGCTGAATACTGGTAAAAATTCTTTTTAATGTAGGGACCGAGGATTTTTGTTTCTGAAATTATAGTTCATATTCATCTGCAGTAATGCAAAGTAGACAGTTGTGAGAGTAACTCCTTGCGAGTAAGGCTTTCTATTGTACCTCTGAAGAAAAAAGTTTTTTTTCATGTATGTCCCCTCCAACACTGCACCTCATCCATGTCACCTCTTAGTTTTACCTTTGTTCTTGTTTGCATCTGAGTAAGAAAATCCTGCAGCTTGTCCTGTTCTGCGGCCAAATAAACCCCAAAGATTTGGTCCTGTCTTGTGCTATCCATCTTTTTCAACTGTGTGGCACTGAGAACATTTCTGAATAAAGATCTTGCCTTTTTCAACATCACCCATCTTGATCTTTGTAAAAAACCTAAAAAAAAAAAGGAAATTTGAACAATATTAAAGAAAAGTTCACTGTTGTTGGTCACATTTATTATCTCCTTCTACAGTTTTATGAAATATTTCTGTCTTGCACAGTAATAAAAAATAATGTGTCTCAAAGTAATGAAAATTTGACCCCAACTTAATTGTGAAGGTAAGTTTGGGTAAGACTCTGTTAAGCTGCACGATTTCTTAACATGATCTGGTTGCTGATGATCATTACTTAAATTTTTTTAAGTTACCCAATTTACAATTAGGAAAAAGTGCCATGGGTTTTTTTGTTTGTTTTTTTTTTTTTTTTTTTTTTTTCTGCATCTCTGAGAGGTGCAGAATTACAGAATTTGTTATTCTTCTCTTTGGAGGTTAAGGTAGCTTTAAGTTTCTTGATTGCTCTTCTAGAGCTGCTTCGATGGTAAGGGTACAGGTCAACACACTTTTGTCTAGAAGGCCAACCTAAAATACAGCAGCACCTGAGGATTTCCCTGTGGGTTGCAGTGCTACCTGGAATGTCTCCAGAATTGTAGAATTCAACTCCTCCAGTGCCTGTCAGGACACGTTCATGATAAGGGGGATTTCCAGAGGCAACAGCCTGGACAGAGGGGAAAGGTGCCTGCGAGGCTGCCCTCGGGCCTGTGTCCGCTGGGGAACGATGGAGAGTTGAGCACCGTTTGGTCCTCGGAGGGCACGAAAGGCAACACTGCCCTGCTGCTCCACGGTGACACCCGGGCACCGGCCACCCCTCCTCAGCCTGGCGAGCCACCCGCCGCAGCTCCACACTTGGCCATCAGCGAGCATGTTCTCTCCTGATGGGTGCGTTGCAGGCCTATGGGGCGGGATTAAGCATCGTGCCCTTCTTTCGCTGTGCCAATGGCCCCAATGGCTGGGGGAACCCCAATGGCTGGGGACACATACACGACTGTCATGGCGCCCCAGGCAGTGCCGCCCTCCCTCTGTGGGCACCTTCCCCGTGCCAAAATGCTTGCTTTTCCATCTGAGTGGTGTTGCTGCACCATCACGGCTCCGTTCTGCAGTGCCAGGAAAAAATGGTGTTGGGAGTTGGGAAAAAATGAGTGCAGAGTTCAGTGCTGGAATGCGCATCATCTTTCAGCCCTGAAACACTGCTCCTGATGTGCTGAATCATAACCTTGCTTTCCTCTAAAGACTTCCCACTGCTGTGGAAAGAAAGAGCTCACTAGATTTTCTGAAATATTCCTTTACATGGAACCAAACCCTACTACTATATCCAAAGTATGTTCCTCTGAAAATACTCATCGACCTTCTACATTACACTCCCAAAACAGGACACCGTTTAACCCCTACAAAAATGCTGCTTCCAAGGCCACTGCCAGGACTGTGCAGTGCTCAAAATACTGCCTCCTCCAGATGTTCAGATCACCAGACCTTGCCTCCACAAAACTTCGCTGACATGAGCTTGAAAACTACATCTGCATGTGTGAAAGAGAGGGGGGATTTCTGCATATTTAATTCACTTGTGGAAAACGATAGAAAGAATATGCGCACCCCAATGCCGATTTCTTCATTTAACCTCATTTTGTACCAGGTGTTGGTCCATTCTGATCCTAGTAAGAACAGCACTTAGACTCTGTAAAGTATCATCTACAATGCTGTTTATTTACAATGCTAACAGAAGAGAATAGCACAGATGATCTCACATCCCATTAGATGGTGGGAGACCCAGGTGGTGTAGCATTGAGCGGGCCACGGGCCCACAAAGAGCATGCTGTGCAAGCCTCCTCCATAGCAGAGATTCCCTCCTTTCGGTCTTTCAGGCTTTTATAAGATTATCTTACAAGGAAACAACTCTGTCATTACAGTCAAAACAGAAACAATGCTCTCACGACACCTTCTTGCTGCGCTGTTAGGTAAAGGCAAGGCTGGGCAGGAGGTGTAATCGCCAGTACTGAGTGGGAGCTGCTCCTCTGTAAGGACGAGCTGGCTGCGTTTATCCCGCGGCTGAGGGATGCGCACAGCATGGCATGGCCTGAAGGCCAGGCTGTACCTGCAGCACAGCCTGGCAGAGCCCCAGCCAGCGCCTGCCCAGGGTAACCGTACTGTGGATCACTGACCCCTTGGCGTGCAGTGGTCAGGGCCACTACAACCCTAGGGCACTGACAGCTCCTGTATTCAGCTGAGGAATTCTTTATTTTTTAATCCAACTATTAAAGATGTGATGGACTTTATAATGACATTGTATTCTTCACGTTTTGTTAGCTGTGTGCTTATTTTCCTACAGATAGTTATTTTTCCCTGGATACTTTTTGTGTTTGTTTCACATGAAATAGATCAAGTCCCCTGGGCCTCTGTCTCCTGAGAGTTCACAAGGTGCGCATTAAGCTCCGCTGTTGCCTGTATCAGCGAAGGCCTTGAAAATGGTTTCTTCATGGAGGAACTCTCTCTTTATGACACTAGTGCTGTTTCAAAGGAGGTGGGTCACCATGTAGTATAGTAAGCCTCTGGCTGAAAGAGGCCCTTTAAAAATAAATAAATTATTGCAGCAGAAGTGAGTATGTTAGGGAAATATTGACACAGGGTACAAAACTGGGAGGAGTGGTTGATGTACCAGAGGGTCATGCTGCCATCCAGATGTACCCAACAGGCTGGAGAACGGCCTGACAGGAGCACCAAGAAGTTTAACAAGGGGAAGTGCGGAGTCCTGCACTTGGGGAGGTAGAGCCCCATGCACCAGTACATGCTGGGAGATGGCCGGCTGAAAGCAGCTTTGCAGAAAAGGACTTGGGCGTTGTGGTGGACACCAAGGTTAACATGAGCCAGCAATGTGCCTTGTGGCAAAGACGGCTACCGGTATCCTGGGCCACCTTAGGAGGAGTGTCACCAGCAGGACAAGGGAGATGACCCTTCCCCTCTACTCAGGACTGGTGAGGCCACACCTGGAGTACTGTGTCCACCTCTGGGCTCCCCAGTATGAGAGAGACATGGACGTACTGGAGAGAGTCCAGCGAAGGGTCACAAAGATGACTAGGGGACTGGAGCATCCCTCCTGTGAGGAAAAGCTGAGAGAGCTGGGACTGTTTACCCCAGAGAAGAGAAGGCTCAGGGGGATCTCATCAGTGTGTATACATAGCTGAAGGGATGGAATGAAGAAAATGGATCCAGACTCTTCTCAGTGGCGCCCAGTGACAGGACCAGAGGCAACGGGCACAAACTGAAACACAGGAGGTTCCACCTGAAACGCTTCTTTCCAGTGAGGGCGACTGAGCACTGGCACGGGTTGCCCGCGGAGGCTGCGGAGCCTCCCTCCTTGGAGACATCCAGAAGCCGCCCGGACACGGCCCGGGGCAGTCGGCTCTCGGTGGCCGGGCCCGGGCAGGGGCCTGGCTCCCCAGACCTCCGCAGGTTCCTGCCGGTGGGGGGCTCTGTGACACCG